GTAAAAACAGCTAGGAAAATTAAATATTACATCTTAAATAGAAGGTGAGATCATGAGAAACGTAAGCGCGTTTGCAAAACTATTTGTGAAAAAGAGACGAGAAAATCATTAGTTTGATATATAGCCAAATTGGGTAAAAATCATATAACTTTTCAGTTACAACCAAATAGCTTTCGAGACCATTGGAAACAGAATCGAAAAAGTAATGAGTCACAATCCCATCATAGATACGAGGGATGTCGGATGAGTAGATAAAATATGATGAACGTCATAGATGGCTTATGAAGTGATTACTCTAATTTTCTTACATTCACATGATGAAAAACAAACTTTAAAGTTATGCTATTTTTTAACAAAAAATTGATATGCGTGTTGTGCAGATTTGATATTGTTTCGTTTTCTAATAATCTTGTTATGTTTTTTGAAACTTTTAAGTGATTAGTTTACCCGACGCAATAACATGTGGAAAATGTAGAATCAATATCCGCGGTATATCCTTGTTTCGTCTCTATCGCTATCGTTTATCACCTATTTTATAGTGTTTGACTGATTACACATGAACTGTATATTAGCGGTAAATCGGTTATCCTAATGGTACGAGTTATAATCACATACTATATAATTTTAAAGCTCAACATCAAAATTGTATCTCATATGGAAGTTCAAAAATAGTTTGAAATAGATTTTTAAATAACTTTAATTACAGCAAAATGTAATATCTTACCAACTTTGAAGATTTTTAAAATGAAAATATTAGTTATATCGTATGCCCCTTGACATTTTGTGCATCTTTACACCAAAATCATATCGTATGTGCATCTTTAGTTATATCGTATGTCGGAGATTATAACACTTAACTGTTCAATTTTTTTTAAAAAGTTTAGAACATTGGATTGACCTTTAAAATGTCATATTTTTTGTAAATTTGTTATTTGTCGTATACAAAACCAATTTTCTTTTTCTTTCTAAATTAAACCAAATTTTTGTTTACACATTGTTTTTTGTTCATCTCTAATGAGATTTGCTTAAATCTATGATTCTAGTGTTATTCAGTCATATCTTTATGTGATACATAACATGGAATATAACACATTATCGTTGTCTGTTTTCTCACACATTATCTTGTTTTTATTTGACTACTCGTAAATAAAGAATCAACGGCTGAAATAACTGTAGTGTGCCTTTTTTCATCCAATCAAAGAGAAGAGAAATCTTCTAAAGGGATAATAATAAAATACTTTTGTCAGAAACGTTTATAAGTAAAAATCGCACGAGTGATTGCCACGTGTCAACATTATCTCTAAAGGGCCCTACAATATCACAATGGCATCATCTCTTACACCACCCTCTGAAAAATTCCTGCGTCTTTTAAAAACCTCAGAATATCGATTAGTGGCCAACCACCGACCAATCCGCCATGAATATTGCTCAGATTCTCTTCTTCGCGTCCCTTCTGCTTCCGTTTCACGCATCGGCGTCGGAACATCATATTTCGAACGCCGGCGACGGAGACACCATCGTGTTCACCACTCTAGGACGATCGCACTACGAATTCGACATATTCTCCCTCTCCACGACCCGTCCGCCGTCGATTTCCGGCGAGCTTCGGATCACAGATGGAGAATCGGTAAATTTCAACGGCTATTTTCCGTCTCCTTCTCCGGCGCTAATCTCTCTCCTTCCCGACGAAACCCTAATCCAACTGGAAGATTCGTCTCCTCTGCATCTCATCTACGTCACCGAGAGAAACGGTACTTCTAGCATCTACTACGATCTAGTTTCCGGCGGTGATTCCGATTCCGAAAGTAATCGACGATCGATGTTAGAGGCACCGTCTCGAGTCCAAATTCCGTTGTTATCATCTCATCGGAGTGGCACGACGGTAAATTCGTTTAAAGATAAGCCTAGTTTGAGTGGTGAGTTTCTCGTATACGTGTCGACACACGAGAATTCAGGTGAGCCGAGGACGAGTTGGACCGCCGTTTACTCTACCGAGTTGGGAACCGGGTTGACCCGGCGGTTGACGCCGAGTGGAATCGCCGATTACAGTCCCGCGGTGTCGCCTTCTGGTAACTGGACTGCGGTGGCTTCGTACGGTGAGAGAGGATGGACTGGGGAAGTTGAAGAGCTTAGTACGGACATATATGTATTCTCGACTCGTGATGGGACTCACCGAGTCAAGGTGGTGGAGCACGGTGGTTGGCCGTGTTGGGTCGATGACTCGACTCTTTATTTCCACAGAAGAAGCGAGGACGGTTGGATCAGTGTGTACCGAGCGATCTTACCTGAAAACGGACCGTTGGGTACAGAGTCAGTGACAATTCAGCGAGTCACACCACCGGGAGTTCACGCTTTCACACCGGCCACGTCACCAAATAACCACGGCTTTATAGCGGTGGCGACGAGGAGACCAGGCAGTGATTACCGCCACGTGGAGCTGTTTGATCTCAAGAGGAACGAGTTTCTCGAGTTGACTCGTTTGGTTGCGCCGGATAGTCATCATTTTAACCCGTTTATTAACCCTGATTCGTCTCGAGTCGGATACCATAGTTGTAGAGGCAAAGGTAATGGAAGGAGAAGTCCTCTGCTTTTCCTCGAGAATATTCAGACCACTACGACTGATCTCTCTCTCTTTAGAATCGATGGTTCGTTTCCTTCTTTCTCACCCGCGGGTGACCGAATCGCGTACGTGGAAATGCCTGGTGTTTATGTGGTGAAGCCGGATGGTTCGGACCGGCGTGAAGTGTACACGGGAATGGCGTTTTCAACAGCTTGGGATCCGGTTCGACCAGGAACCGTGTACTCTAGCTCAGGTCCAACGTTCGCTACAGAGAGAACAGAGGTTGATATCATTTCCATTGATGTCGATGCAGCGGACACGTTATCGTCGGTTAGAAGGCTAACGACAGACGGGAAGAACAATGCTTTCCCTTGGCCATCTCCGGATGGGAAGCGGATCGTGTTTCGTTCGGGTCGGTCTGGTCACAAAAACCTCTACTTAATGGATGCTGAGAAAGGCGAAACCGGTGGTTTATGGAGGCTAACCGAAGGTGCGTGGACCGACACGATGTGTACCTGGTCACCAGATGGCGAATGGATCGCGTTTGCATCCGACCGTGAAAACCCTGGCTCGGGTAGCTTTGAGCTGTTCTTGATCCACCCGAATGGAACAGGGTTAAGAAAGCTGATCCAAAGCGGTTCGGGTGGTAGAACTAACCATCCGATCTTTAGCCCGGACAGTAAAACAATTGCCTTCACATCTGATTACGCTGGGATCTCAGCGGAACCGATCTCGAATCCGCATCATTACCAGCCATATGGCGATATCTTCACGGTGAAACTAGATGGCTCTAATTTGAGGAGACTGACGCATAACTCTTATGAAGATGGGACTCCGGCATGGGCTCCTCGGTTCATAAGCCCCAGTGATGTTGTGTTACGCAGGAAGAATGATTCGAGCTGCTCGTTCGATGATTGTCACTGGCTCAATAAGAACCCAACACTAAAAGGCCCAAAAATCTCATGTTAATATATGTATTGATTACACGAGTACTACTGTTGAGTATCCTTTTCACAAATCTGCTGCTTGCTTCACTGTAAAATGTAATCGAGCTTGGAACTGTAGTTGTATATAAAGAGACTTGTACGAGACTGCCGATGCTTATGCATATCATTATTGATAAATAAATGTACTGGATCTATGTATAAAAAGACTTTGTATTAATGAGTCTGCCAATGTATACGAGTAATTGAGTATACCAAATTAGCTGAATTGCATAAGAGCATCATTATCAATAAAATTGAGTGGGTAACTATCAAACTCATTACCCAATAACACAATCCGTCTTAAGTCCGATTTAATCTTCAATGCGAGAAATCGACTAAACGGACACCAAATCTCAAACCGACGGGAAAATTCCGGCGAAGACGAAAATAAAAAGAAGAAGTGAAGGAGCAAACCTCAATTCTTCAAGGATTAAGAGGAGGATGCGGCGACGCGTTCTGCGTTCACCGAGTTCGCGAACCAAGTTCCAGAGATTATTTTGATTCAATCCGCAGAAGTTTTCTCGAGGAACACGAGAGTATTCTGAGTATTCAAAAATACAGCGAACACGATCAAACCTGCACGAAGAGAATCGCCGCTGCA